TGTTTGTTTGTTTGTTTGTTTGTTTGTTTGTTTGTTTGTTTGTTTGTTTGTTTGTTTGTGCGTGTGATTCTTTGTTTTTTGTTTGTTTGTTTGTTTGTTTCTTTGTTTGTTTGTTTGTTTGTTTGTTTGTGTGCTTGTGTGTTTGTGTGTTTGCTTGCTTGCTTGCTTGCTTGTTTGTTTGTTTGTTTGTTTGTTTGTGCGTGTGTTTGTTTGAAAGGTTTGTTTTTTTTGTTTGTTTGTTTGATTGATTGTTTGTGTGCCTGTCTGTCTGTCTGTCTGTCTGTCTGTCTGTCTGTCCGTCCGTCCGTCCGTCCGTCCGTCCGTCCGTCCGTCTGTGTGTCTGTTTGCTTGCTTGCTTGCTTGCTTGCTTGCTTGTTTGCTTGTTTGCTTGTTTGCTTGTGTGTTTGTCTGTCTGTCTGTCTGGCTGGCTGTTTGTCTGTTTGTTTGTTTGTTTGTGTTTGTGTGTGTGTTTGCTTGTTTGATTGTTTGCTTGGTTGCTTGCTTGTTTGTGTGTTTGTATGCTTGTTTGTTGGTTTGGCCCATCCTCAGGCAAGCACGGTGACGGTCCACACCGCGACTGCACACGCCGCCGCGAGCCTCGGGCAGGCGGGCAGTGGGAGGCACCAAAGCCCCGGCCTTTTGGTCCGTTCCCAAGCTGGGGTCTGACCTCAAAGCCCCTGCTAAAAATCGTGTTGACGTTTAGTGCGTGTCGAAAATGCTAAACACCTACAGGATGGCTTAGGGTTTAGTGGAAACTACCACTGAAAGGCTGAAAAAGCGAAAGGGGACGGCTTAACTTTTCCTGGGTTTAGTGGAAACTATCACCAAACCCTCAAAGGCTAAAAACCTCAAGGGGATGGCTGGGAACCTCATCAACTGAGTGTTGCGGTCTGGAAAACATCGAAACATGCCCGTCCCCTTTGTGGTTCCCCTTGCGTTCTTTTTGGACACTACCAGTGCTCCAAAATACCGACCAGCACAAGGTCGACAATGGCAACCCTGGCAACGAGACACTGAAGGAGATCCAACCAAATGTCCCTTGACCTCCGTGCCCTAGCCTCCTGGTAGCTAACCTCAAGGCTCCCTTATACCAGCCAACCGAGGTTCGATCAAACGGCTCGAACCAGCCCGAGAAGGTCAAGGCCCTTCTGCGCGATAAGAGCGACGCCCCCCATCCAAGCCAAGGGGAAAACGGGCACTCACCGCGGCTTGGTCTTTTCAAATGGCCGGCCACGCCTCAGCACAGATGGACAAGCCCAACATGGGGCGACGTGCATTTCCATCCCGTGGGCATGGGCGGCGTGAGCGGCGTGAGCAGATATCAGATTGGCCAAGATCTGTTGCCCAAAATTTCAAAATGCGCATCCTTGTGAGGTATTCCAAGGGGATTGGTCCGGCCAGGTGTGAATCTCTTTCTTGATGCCACGCCATTCACATTGCCCAACTGCAGCGTGCTGCAACTGGCGCACCTAGACAGATCCTAAGAAAGTGGCCCGGCGCCACTTTAAAACTCGCGCGCCGGCCGCCAAAACCCCGACCAGCGCTCGCTTCTACGGGTTCCGCGGCGGATGTTCGGCTTGCGAAGCCCCTTGTCAGCTTCACGTACTTGGGCGTCTCTCAAACCCGGGGGGCCAACAAACGCATAGGCCCTGGCTTCAGAACCAAGACCGGGCCCAGCCTAGCTGCAGTCTGAAGCCTAACTTACAGCCAAGATGCCGGGATCAAACTTGCACACAACACATATCCACTTGTAACAACACCTGGTGATCCCCTTTTGGACGCATGGAAACCAAACGGTGCCCCAGTGGGCCGATTCGCCGACTCGCTGGCGCTCGGAACCTGAGCTCCGAGGCGCGAGCGAGCGAGCTCTTCGTCTCGCAGCAAGGCTCGCGCGAAAGGGCTCATGTCAGGCACCGTAGCCGATCAAACTTCTAAATGCGTCCAGGCCCAAAACGTTGCCTCAGCAACGGGAAACACGGACAGGTGATCATGTTCACAGGACTTTCGGATGTTTTCGGCACCCTCCTAGTGGGCTTTTTTTGCCACAGCACCTCCTGACTTGCAAGAATCGGGCTTCCTTGCAGGAATAGGCGCCGGAGAGGTCTTGCACCCCGCTTATGAGTGCCATGTGAGCACCAAACAGCTTTTTGACTTTGGGTTCTACTAACGTGGGCATAAAGGTTTATATATACGTATATATATATATGGATAGATATATGGGTGTATCTTTTTGTTGAGGGTTCCAGGTTTTCCGATGTTACAGGAAAACCAGAAGGAAACCACCGCCTTGGGGGTCCCAAAGCAGTTTTCTTGCCGTCAGTTTAATTGGTGATTCAAGTTGATCTTGCTGAAGGTTGCCATAAATTCCTTTCAACTCTAAAAGTGTAAAAGGCTGAGGTTCTGGCTGGGAGCAGTCAAAACTCGTCTTGCTGGCAGCTCCAATCACCAATTCCGGGTGGCCGGACATGAAGCATGGGCTACACGGGATTATGTAGCAACCCCATGATGCAGGGTGCTTTGTTCAAATCACCCGTCGCCTGGAAATGGTGAGCTGAAGGCTAACATGACGTGAAATACCACTGGCCGAGCAAAAACAATGCCAAGGTGCTGAGGGCGGACTTTAGCAGTGTCTTCAGGAGCAGAACCTCGCGAATCCAGCCGAAATCCGTGTTTATGTGTTCGCCAAACAGGGCCCGGCATGGCTTGTTTCCCCTTTCAACCATCTGAAAAGGGTCAAGGGGGCAAGGGGTAACTTGCACACTGGACCAACATGTGCTAAAGAGCTGTGAGCCCGGCATTCTTAGGAAATCGCCTGCAAAAAAAAAGTGGCTAAAGCTCCAACCGGTTGGAAGTGAGGCACTCCATCCCCCCACCTTCAGGAAGAGGGGGGGTGCGGGACCCTATTCCACTTATCTAGCATTCCCAACCAAAAGCGAAGATGGAAACATAACTGGAATTCCGCCCCCTGTTTTTTTCCCGGTCTCCCAAATTCCATGGAAACAAAACTGGTATTCCCCATAAAAGTTAAGATTGGAAACAAATATGGAATTCCAGGGGCCAAGTCTAGTATGCTTCCTGAGTTGCCGCCAAAAAAAAGGTGGTAGCACCAAAATGATCCAAGCCCAGAAAGTGAAAGTCCGAGTCCAGGACTTCCAGGAAGTGAGCCTTGCTCCACCCCATTTCAGCAGTTTGATTTGCCGGACGGATGGCCCGCCGAAGTCGAATTCTCCGCCGGGCGGCCACCAGGAACTCCGCCCGCACGGGGCCCACCTCTTCCGAGAAGTCCTCCAGCCGAAGCCGAAGCTCGCCCGAGCGGCGCTTTTCTTGGGGGGAAAGCTCCATAGGCGTCCTTTTAGGGGGAAATAAATGGCCCTTGGTAGATGAAACCACTAGGTAAACCAGGAAAATCCCCAAACCAATCCAAACCACTAAGGGATACCTGATCGGAGGGTTTCCCTTAGAAAAACAAAATCACTACCAGGAGAGGGTCCCCTTCACAATTGGACATCACATGAGCCACTTGGAGACCCAAAAGCAGTAACTTTGGGTTCTCCACAGTATTACTGTGTCGCTCCCAATTCAAATTTCCCCCGCGAATCACTGGTGAATGTGTCTGCTTCTTGAAGTGAAGGAGTTCTTGCGTGCTGACTGGGCCTAGCAACGCGGTCCGCATTTTGCGGAGCTTGTGACACCCTTCGCGCCTTCCAGGGTGTCCTCCCTTCCGAGCGCTACGAATGCGTTGCCGGTCCAGTTTGAAACCCCGGTGATCAACACGCGTGCCGGAAAAACCTAGGGAACGAACCGAAACCCGAAACGGAGACCCCACCGGCCAAACCGACCAGAGACTTCCCCAAGGCGCCTGGTAGCACAGGTCTGCGACTGCGATGTTGGCCTCAGCCAGGGGGGGGGCATCCCAACCCCACGGATTTTGGACCATCGAATGGCGGGTTGCAGCCTGTAGGTATTGAAATGACAACCCCTCCCCGCCCCCCCAACCGGGAAAGGTTCCTAGGACCTTCGTAGGAGGCTGAGGTCCGGTCCCACCTGAAAGCACGTACGATGCCGCAGGAAGCTCACCCAGACCCGTGGATTTCCACGATTGGTGCCAGGCTTTGGCTGTTGATTTTAAAGGAAGCCCCTCCCAACAGCCTCCAGGCCTCCCCCACGTGGCTAGCATCTCTGTGTGTATGTGATGCAAACCCCACTGAATGAAGAACTTGGAACCGTGGGGGGTATCAACCACTTGCTGAGCGTGGTGGTCATCCAAGTACAAGGGGGTCTTGAGCCTGTACCGCTTCCAACTGGGCTCAGCTCACTTGAGTCATCGAAACCCAGCACAGGGCCATGCACAAAATCGCCAGGCGGATTTCCGCACCTTCTTGTGCACTACTCACTTAGCGGACTTACCACCTACCACATAGTGCGTGCTCACTTGGTGCAAGGGACCCAGGAATCATCGCCTTGACAAAAATGGACCAAAAAGGAAGAACCAAAGAAGTCAGATCCGGTCGACTTGCTGGAAAGTGAGAGTGGGGTAGCTTAACAACTCCTTGCCCAAAGCTAGGATGCTCATACTGTGACCGCAAACCTCCGTTTGCTGAATTCCCCTGGGTATTAAAACCAAAAGAAGAAGTGAAAGGTTCCCTTAAAAACTCACCTTGCCATAGTGGGTGGTTTGGTTTGGTGCTTTGATGGTTTGGTGGTTTGATGGTTTGGTGGTTCAGGGGTGGCTTCCCATTTACCCTCTGTAGAAGCCAGGTTCAAATCCCCAAACCACCAATCCAGGCCACCAACTAAACGGTTCGTTTAAAACCAACTGGAGAAAATAACAAATGTTCTTCGCCAAATGGGTATGGGTCAAAATAAGACCACCAGGGGACTGCACCTTGTGTCCGCTTAGGGCTCCGTTTTTGACCCACCCAAATGGAAGCAGAGAGACTCTTCACAGGAACCTTCCAGAACTCAGCGCCGGGCCCTTGCCCCCACCAGCCCCTGGATCCTCAGGAAGATGTCCTGAACAGAACTCATCGGAAGGGGACCTGGGTTCATTGGACCCGTACCTTCGCAACGCGGGGGGGATTTCTTATGGCCAAGCCGCATCATAATGGGACCCCCTGAGATTGGTCTATATCCCTGGCTAGGTCTTTGTGTCTTGTTGGTGCAGCTTTGTTTGCGGCATCCCTGATTCGGAGGCCTCCACAAAATCGACCCCGACGGCAGCAAGCTGCCGCTCCTCAATCCAGACCTCTCGTAGCGTCAAGTCCGGCGGCCGGTTCCTGAGCGGTCAAGCCGAGAGAGGGCCCTTCCGGAAGCGACAAATGAGAGCACGACGCCCTACCCTGGCTGGTTGCGCGAAATCCAGACATCACACCACCCTTCAGGTTCCCAACGGAATGATTCGCTTCCCCTGTAAATACCAACAAAAATTGTGTCCCGTGGCTCCAACATTACCAGGGGTCTCCGACTCGCCGCTGGGCATGGCCCTGGCCAATCGAGCCAAGGAGCTGCGGAGGCTTGAGGTTGTCTTTGATCTCACCGATCTTCGTTAGCACCTCGTTGAGGTTCCTGACAGCCGTGGTTGGGACAACCGGCGTGCCCCCTCCCGTCCCACCCCCATGTTTCTTTGTTAGAAGTTGTGGATGTGTTTTTTTTGGGGGGAACTGGTTGTGAGCATGAAGGGGCAACTTAAGCTTAAGGCTGGCTTGAGGAAAGCACAATTCCTTCATAATGAAGCAGTCTCCCCGGATTTTGTTATGCCGTTTCTGGCTTTGAGCATCTCCCTCTCGGAAATGTTCAGCTTCCCAATTGGTGGTTTGGATCCTGGTGGTTTGGAGGAGTTTTCCATTTACCCGCAAGAGCCAATCTAAACCATCAACCTGAACGGGTTACCTCAAATGCAAACCACTACAAGGTCCAAGCTCAAACAGATTTCATGTTCACCACTTAAAGGCCCAAGCCCAAACAGTTGACCCTCCTTCCAACCAACATGGAAGCTGACAGGAGTGTTGGAACTCAGGGAGGTAGTCTTGGGGCTCCAGGCGGGCATCGGGAGAAAAAAAAAGGCACCGCAGGACCGTAGCTCAGGAGAATCCCGGCAGAAATAAAACAAAATGGGTGGGTCTCCTTTGCTTTCTGAGGCTACTCCCTGTTTTTCAAGGAAAATCAAAAGGAAACCCCCTGCTTTGCAAGAAACCCCCTGCTTTGCAAAGCAGTGGGTGCCCATTTCTTTGTGAATTGGAAGGGGGACCACACCTGATGGACGAATCACCCGCTTCTCGCACGATTGATGAAACCCATGTTTGAAACCATTACTTTTGTCGGTATTTATGTTGGGGAATCGAAAATCATCCTGCTGGGCTTCCGAAGGGAGGTGCGAGACTCGTGGATTTCGCAACCATCCCCAGTATGGGAATGATTGTCCCTTAGCATCTAGGCCTTAGGGGAGCCCTCTTGCGGCCCAGGAGTGCTGCTGCCCGTGTAAAGTCAATCTTGCTTGCCTCTTTGCACTGTTCCGTTTCATTTCCCTTTTTTACGCTCAGCTTTCCAAGGCGAATCGGCCTTTGAAGGCTTTGGGTCTCACTCATGGAGCTTTTTTTAGGTTGGATTTGCACCGAGCATTTCCACACCACATGTAGCATCTAGGTTTGATGGCTGTGGGAGCTCCCCTGGGATAAATGCGCAAATATGTTCCAACTTTACAACCAACTTCAGGGACAATGAACATACATTACTTTAAACACAAATTAAAACCAACCAGGGAGTTTACTTTTAAAAACACAAAAACAACTCAATGTGTATTCTTCTCGCACGCAACTGGCTGTGAGTCTTATCCATTTGAAGGTTCGAGGAGTTGAAGGTCTTCTCGTAGATGAGCTCCACCCCCGAGACGTGGAGCTCTTGGATGGTGAGCTGCCGGAACCCCGACAGGGCGAAGTCCCGCAAGAGCACCCGGCACCGGATCCCTCGGCGCGAGCGATTTCTTCGAGCGAAGTCTGGTGACCCGGGGCCATCAACAGGGGCAGGGAAACAGGGGGGGCAGGGTGTGGCTACATAAAGGGGGTGAGGGCAGATCAAACCGGTGGCAAAGGGGCAGGGTATAGCTGAAAGCAGGAGACAGGGTATGCTCAAAACATGGGGCAGGGTATGCTGCAAACAAGGGGAGAAGGGCAAACCACGTTTGGGGTCCTCTCATTTTGACAAATCTAAAGGTACATTGGATTGGAACCAAACAATCCAGAAGCAACCAGCGATCTGTCTGCTCGAAATGGACAGGGGAGCCGTTTTGGGGCGGTTGACTCCACGTGAAACGGGGGGCCGCCAAAGAAAAGTGAAACAAGGAGCCACGTGCCTAGTGGTAAGTAATCATGACCAAGAATGACTACGGGCCATTTGCGGCTCCCAAAAGCCGTATGTTTTTTGGGAATTCCGAGGAATAATATTGGTCTTTCGATTGTTGTGTCTTATATCCGAGCCTCCCAAGCCCGAAGCCCCAAGGCCTGAACGCAAACTGAGAAGACCCGGCTCAAGATGATGCTGTTCAGGGTTAGCGAGGTCGAGAGGGTAACTCCTTTCGAACAGCAGGTCTTTCACAAACCATGGGCAGTTGCACCCACTGTCCTTGTCCCAAGTATAGGGAGCTTCTCCCGAAAGGAACATATGAATCTTGGAGGCCTGTACGTTGATGGCAATCAGAACAACCTACTCTTCCAACAATCGCGGAAGTGGACCAGGGCCTTCTGAAGAGGAGGATTGAGCCTGCCCGAACCTTCCTGACTTTGTCTGAATCTTGCAAAGCGGAGGAAGCGGCCCCCTTGGCATCACCGCACAGAATCATGGACCCAGTACTTGCGCCCGGCCCAATGGAATCCAAAACAGATCAGTCCCTGCACCTGCAGTTGGCTTCTGCAGAATACTATCATCTGTTGCTGCAATGACTGTCTGTGTTAACTTGATCGACCACATCTTCAGAGATTCCTCTCCATTCCGTGCCATCTGTTTCTTTGCGGGGAACCATCAATCAAGCAGAAAGGGCCCCCGCTACAAAACTGGCGCAATGTCAAACTGATGTGGTGTTTGCAAAGCAGAATGGGGAGCCCCTTATCATGAACTGCTACAGCAACCCCCCCTGACCCCCCCCCCTAGAAGCGCTCAAAGCTGTCTAAGATGCTAGCAAGCCTTGGAAAGCCTTAGCAAGCCCCGCTAAGCCTTAGCAAGCCTTGGCAAGCTCTGCTGAGAACTTGATGGCTGAAAGGACAAAGTTTTTGGATTGTGAAAACAAGTCGAACAGAGGCTCTTTTCCTGAGTGGATGGGCCAAACAAAGTCTGAACTTCTTATTTGCCCCTAAGATGGTCCAAACCCAACAAGTTCAAAGTTCATGAGTTCAGGACGTGAGGAGCCCGACCCTTGAGACCAAGGCCGAGCATCGCTTGGCAGTCATCAAATAAGGCGACCGCCACTCCCGGTCCGGGGGATTCTTCAGCTGCAGGGCGTCAATGCAAATGAGGCCCTGGCTGAAGTCTACCTGAGAGGCTCGGAATGGACCTGAGGGGAAAACAGGGCACCTGAACCCTCAAACTACCCATAAAGGGATTTCACCCCATACTTAATTTTGGGGCGATCACCTGTTCTGAAGGGAATTTTGAGGGTTCAGGCACACGGCTTGTTTGGTGGACATGCAAGGAAACCGCCAAAAAAGTCAAAGGGGCAGCACCGGAGGTGCTGACAACTCCTCCCCTTCCAATGTACTGCGTTGTTTACCATTCTCAAACAAGCCCAGGTCCCAAAAACGAGCCTCCCGGAATGGTAGCGCAAATTTTGGGGCGTCACCTGGGGGCTGAGGGCTGGCCCAGTCGCCTGTGCAACTCAGAACCCTCCACTGGTCTCCAACAACATTCATCTGCACAGGTTGGATCTCACCGATCTGAAATAAGGAAACGCCCCAAATGACCTCTTGAGGGGCAGAATCATCCTGTCTTTCCCCTGTGAATTTCCCCCCCCCCCCCAAAAAAAAAAAAACTCGCTTAAAATTCGCCCAAAGGATGTGTCAAGCCGCCCAAAATGGGAACTAGAGTTGGAACCTGTTCAACATACCCCCCTGCAAATTAATATGGACCCCCCAAAAATACATCATTTGTAGAGGAACCTCCTTTTGGAGGACCCCCTTTTTGGATTCCATGCTGATTTGTAGCGAGGAAAAAACACGGACGCGCCACTGACTGTCCCGGCCGAATGGCGTAGGCCCGTTCCACCTTCAGCTCCATCTTCAGCACCTTTCGGAGTATCTGCGAAACCGAAACTCTCGCTGCCCCCGCGCGATTTGTTTTGAAACGTGGCCCTGGTGTGATGGAACGAATTGACAAAAGTTTTGGACAGCGAGTCCCGGGCAAGCCACAAAAGTAGGGAAGACGCATTAAAGTCCTTTTTTGGTCTATCTTTTGTTGGAGTTGGTATAGTAGCTGTCCATCAGGTGGCATATGTTTTACCGCGTCCCCTCCTCAGTTAGCATAAAGTGTACTCTGTTGATCACCAGAACCATTAGTGTCATTTTGAGGATGTCACTCTTGTGGAAAAAACAGGCTTGGTTTGGTCGTTTGCACCTGGGTAAAGCGCCTGCCCCTCTTGGCTTCAATTAGAACTGGCTTCAAACCCCCAAACCGCCTATGCAAACCGCGCATGACTTGCTGGTGCTCAGCAGGGAATGGCCCAGGGTGTTGGTAATGAACCGGAAGGGGGTGCCCTTAAAGGAAACCACAAGGGATGGTTTGATGGCTTTTAAGGGTCATTCCAGTTCTTCCCCGAGAACCAGCAAGATTATGGGTGTCTTTGACCATGTTGGGGGCTTGAAAGGAATACATCCATATTGAGACTGTTGCTTAAGGGGTCCCCGAAAACCCAAGGCCACGTCCCAACCTTCCCCCATCTTGCTCCCACCGTTTCCCTTCCGTCGAGGCTTGGCCGAGGGGCGAAATCGCTCAATGCCTTGAGGCCGTTGGCGATGCGGGAGCCCATGATCGCCTGGCTGGGGAGTTGGGGGGAAGCGAAATACCAGGCTTCCATCTGCTTTTTCGCCCCCTGAAAAAATATACATATTTCCAGTAGTGACAGATTCCCTTTAAAACCAGCAAGGGAAAATAGAGAATGTTCTTGGAGCAATTGGATGCAGGAAAAATTACCTGTTGGTGGAAACCCCTCCATTTTCCATGGGTCCAACCCACAGACTATGAAACCGGATCGTTGAATGCGGTCTCAAGAGTCAAACGTGGAACCTCTCGCTCTCTCTCGCGCCATCGAAGGTGGAATCCGTGTTCTCTTGTCCACGGCCCCTCGAAAACGCCCCAAAAGCCCCACTGGGAATCCCAGTGGCAGGTCGACCCTTCGTGGGTGGATTGTATCCAAACCATCCACAGTATGTGGGTTCATTTCGCAGTTCTCCCTACGGCTGGCCTTCGCAATCAGGAAGCCGAGCGGAACCAGAACCAGGAACGCCTCGGGTTCCCAAAAAGAAGGAAGCGCCACGCCGCCAAAAGGCGGGGCTGGCAAATGTCCTAATCCTTCCAGCTACCGCCATGTTATATATATATATACATAATATTTGTCTTCATATGCATTCATGAATTTATTCATGTTTTGAATTATTTGATTGTTGATGTGTATTTACTTCTGTAATTATTTGTTGTACTTTTGCATTGATGCATTCATTCGTTCAATATTATCGATTTATCTATATATCCATGGTGTTTGTTTGTTTGTTTGGTTGCTTGCTTGCTTGCTTGTTTGTTTGTTTATTTGCTTGATTATTGGTTGGGTCGGTTGCTGCGTTGGTTGGTTGGTTGGTTGGTTGGTTGGTTGGTTGCTTGCTTGCTTGCTTGCTTGCTTGCTTGCTTGGTGGGATGGTTGGTTGGTTCGTTCGTTGGTTGGTTCGATTATTCGAATTATTGTCTTATTATTTGTTTGTGCACTTGCTTGTTTATTTGTTTATCTAGTTAGTTAGTTAGTTAGTTAGTTAGTTAGTTAGTTAGTGCGCTGGCTGGTTAGATAGTTAATCTGCTTTGCTTGTTCATGAATGTTAGTTGATTTCATCTCATTTATGTGGCATAATTGTGCATTTGCTGGGAACATCCCAACAATTCAGCTGAGCAGCTAATCGGGGTGTCTTACCTCTGGTTTTAGCATCGGTTTCCCAACAGCCAATTTGACAGCACGATCGGTTTGTTGCCCATGTCTTGCCAGAACCCAGGAGAAACAGCTGCCTTTTGGAACCTCGAAGTTGAGTGGGAGGGAAAACCCATAGAAACCAGACTGTGAATGGACGAAATCCATTTCGCCCCACTTTGAAACCATGGGAAACCGTTAGGGGAATCAACATTCCAGGATTTCTTAGGTGGTGCGAAATAAATTTCGTCCATCCAAAGCAGGTCTAAGAATAAAGGCACACCCACACACGGACCAAACTGGGAAATCCGAAAGATCAGCTCCCGCCGATTCGCTTTGGTTGCAAGTCAGCTTCTAGAACGCCGAATTGTCTCTGCCGCCCAGCCGCGGCATACCACAACAGCACCAGTCTTAGGGTTGCCGCTGCGCGGTTGTCGCTCCGCAGATACGCCTCGCTCGGGCAAGCCGCTGGTAGGACAAGTGAGGCTTCCTATGGTACCATGAAGGCAACCTTCCTGTGGTTGAACACTATGGTGCCCACTCCCAGTGGTGACATATTCCTATAATGCCCACCCCCAGTGGTGTTTTGGACACTGCACAAAACAAAGGGAGGCTGCTGTGCTCAAAAACTGGAGCCGGGGGCCGCTGGGGGCTTTTCATCAGGACTAGGACCTAGTGACTAGGATGATTTTCTATTGGCCCTTGAAATGCAAGGCATCCACATGAGCCATTGTGATTTTCCAGCCTTCTGTGGATCTTGTGCCTCAGGGAAAGCCATGCAAATCAGTGGATCAGCTGCATGCTTGGTAAACGGCATGTATCTATTGGGGGCCGACGATCCTCTAGAATCTACTCGCTTCCTGAGGGGATTGGCCGCAAGAAGTCTAAACTTTTTGTTACTGCTAAAACGGTCTTCCCAAAGAGTTTAAAATCCAGGAAGTCAGGGAACGAGATAATTCCACAGGCAACTCATGTTGGGCTCGCCATTGCGGAGATCCCCCCAGAACGGTCAAAGATCGCCTCTACATAAGGGAGCTTCCCCCAATCAACAAATGTTTGGAGCCCATATGTTTGCAAGTGCTCCACTCGAAGCTGCAGGGGCCACCTCGCACCTCTATGTGCTTGGATGAAGATTCTACCTATCAAGTGGCTCTTTCCCTAGTTTAATTATCAAGTCCCCTTTCAGTGGATTTACCCTCCATACTTAAATCCCACGGAATGGGGATTTATTGGCCAGGGAGATTGTGCACCTGCCTGTCGTGGGGCGGCAAGAGCAGGCCAGCCTCTCATTCTCTCTGCCGAGGCGCTAGGAAAAGCATGGCCCAAAGAAGCAGCGCGAAGAAGTAGCATAGCGGCATCTGCCACCAGCCGACGCCCTAGGCACGCTTTCTCTCGGAGAGGCTGTTCCAAAGGCCTGCGGTGGAAAACCAGATTCCCCTGTTCATCATGGGGGGGGATCCCTAATCCAAAACCATTTTCTGATAGAGGGACACCACTGCAAAGGAAACCACTAGCATCACCAAGCCATCAGCCAGGGCGAGGGTTGCTGGAAAAGCCTCGCCTGCAGGGCGCAGCACAGCTGGCAGGTTTGATGAGCGAGACAACGCTGGTTGCAGGAAAATACCTTGGTCTAAGGTTGATATATATATATATATATGTGTGTGTGTGTGTATATGTATATATATATATATACCACTTACGTACGGGGCATGTCCTGCCCCAATCGCCTTAGACAAACCTCCCACAGCTTCGAAGCCTCCAAACAACCCTCCAGAAAAAAAGAAAAAAACAATCTGCGCCCAAGCCAAGATCAAAACTGCTACCCCAATTCATGAGTCTCTCACCTGCTGGTTTTTGCGTGGGAAGTTTTGAGCTCGTTCTCCCATATCCCTCCCAGATGAAGGTCACCTAGACCGCCATTTGCTTCAGCCCTCTGGAAAAGAATAAAAATATTTGTCCACTAGCGAAATCGATTCCATTTTTAAAACCAACAAGGCAAAATAAAACCTAGTCTGAAAACGCGAATGGCAGTAGACAAATCCAGGGCATGCCCCCCCCCCCCCGCCTAGCCTCAAGGTGCGCCAGGTTCTCCTCCTGCAGGGGCCCAGGTCACTTTTCGAGGCGCAACCCCTGCCGAGACCTAGAGAAACCACAACGCCCTAACTTGGTTGCGGTTGACCCCCCTGCAAAAAGTTTAATTGTTTGGGGGTTTGGTGGAAAACCAAACTTGATTTCAACCAAAAGTTAAAGTCTAAAGATCCAACCCAATAGCAGTTAAGCTAAACACAAAACTTTGACAAAGGGTGCAGAGATTTCGAGAAAAGAAGATCCAAGCTGCCGGCTTGCCACTGAAACGGTCACCACAAAGAAAGAAAGAAAGAAAGAAAGAAAGAAAGAAACAAAGAAAGACAGACAGACAGACAGACAGAAAGAAAGAAAGAAGCACCAAGTCAAAGTACCTGTCCTTGACCTCCTTGCCAAAAAAGCAAAACATGATGTTTGCGGCCCCCAGCCCGGCTCCCTTCCAGCCACCTAGCAATGAGCTTCTCAGGGAGCGAGGCACCAAGTTATGTCAACCAAGGGTGAATGAACCTCATACCAACATGTCATATGCGGGGGGGAACCCCATTGTAGCTGACGCGCCACCTGATTGCCTCCTTCGAATTCCAAGCGCCCTGTTTTTTTTGTGTGCAGACCACCTTTGGAGGGGGAAAACCACCCCCATACTGTGGACGCTATCCATTTCGCCCCACCTAAGAAGCCCAACGGAATGAATCGATTCTCCTGTAAATACCAACTAAGAATGTAAACCTATGGTTTCAATCATGGTATCTTAGGTGGCGCGAAATGGATTTCGCAACTACGTTTAACTTTTTAGTCGGGTGAAATGGAAACCCCCACTAAACCAACTAAAAACCCATAAAACCTCAAGGGATTGGCCGGGAACCACCAAGAAGCAGGGGTCGGTGCCTTCCCCCCCCCCCCTCTTCGCCTCCCCGCCCCGCGGCCGCGGACGCGTCTCGCCTGCAGGGTCTCTGTGGCCCAAAAGGAGGCGGCCGCGGCGCCCCCGGCGGAGGGGAGGCTGGCCGCAGACTCGGGCCGAGCCCTGGGGCTGGACCTCGCGACTCCGCCGCCAGGCCGACGTGTGCGGGCATTTTGGTTGGGGGGGGGACCTGGAACCTCGACATTCCCCCTGAAAAAAAAAGGTGTTGTTGTCCCATGGTTGCTCGAAATTCCCTGAAAAAATGTTTGATTGTCCCACAGTTGTGGGGTGAATTCTGTTTGCTTTGGTGGTTTGAGGGTGCTTGTTTGAGGGGACCCCCTTTTTGTTGGTGCTTTCGAAGGACCAAAAAGCAACCGCCAACCTTTTTCGGGGACATTTTGCCCCAACCTCCGGTTCCATGTTGGGAGGCTACGGGACATGTCTCCGGGGGATATGGGCTCATGTATTAGAATCGGCCCACATGCCTCCTAGAGACCCCCCTTCTGCGATGCGGAATGGCGGGATTCGAGAGCCAAACCTCAAACCGCAAATTGTCATGGATACGAGCTGCTTACATGCGAAGCCCAAGATCGGCCTTTGTGCAGAACACCGCCTTTGTTCCTACATCCTGCAACCATAGATGTCCTTTTAGAAAAATAGACGGCCCTGGTAAATGGGGCATAAGAACCCATCTAACTAATCTAAAAAAGACACCTATGTGCTGCTGTGACCCTATTGGAATCCGGCAAATCCCAGAAAAAATGGCTCAACCCTCCATGTCCTAAAGACAGCCGCGGGTCTGCATGGGACACTCACTTGCAAACTTGAACGCCTGGTTTTCCATGTGGGCATCACTTTGTTTGATGCTAACCTTGTCGACCTTGTTACAAAAGGAAAAGGAACCAACAGGAAAATCATTGTATTTCAGGGGGAGGGAGGAGCAAGCCCGAACCGTCAATCCCTGTTTCCAGTTGGCTTGCGCAGGGTGAATGGGGCTTATGGGGTTAACTCAATAATTCTAAACACAATCCACGCCCGGCAATTTGCAGATTCAAATCTTCAACCCACGTCTGCGAATTCTAAGCAATGAATGACTCCAAAACCCGAAAACATCAAACACTGGATCCCCAAATGAAGGAAGGACCTACATCACGGCCCTTCACGGTCCTTTCCAAGGGGCCGAGGCGACGTCTCATCACGCTCTTCCACCGCGAGAGTCGCTGACCTCGCTGGCTGGATGGGTTTCTTTTGGGCTCCAAATTTTGGATGCGGGAAGCAGCTCGTCGTGTGGCGATCGCAGCCCCTTGTCTAAGGTTTGATTCCCCATTCTCTTCACCCAGCCAGCGTTCTCTTTAGAAACCACCTATGCTCCAGCATGTTTGCCATTTTTTGAAGAGAAGGATCCCTGAAGAGAATTGGGAGGGTACAGCTAGACCTTTGGTAGAACTTAGGTAGAGTTCCCTGACCTGGAAGCTAGATCAAAGGGCAGCCCTTTTGCCAGCAGCCATGGGAAACAGGAGCTGGTTCGGCAGTTCAGGCACCACCAGAGCTCTGGTTTTTAGGCAGGCCTATTGAAAAAACACCTGCTGTGGATGGACGAAATCCTGCACCACCTAAGAAACTCCCCTCTGTAAATGCCAACAAACAAGGGTTTCCCATGGTTTCAAAGTGGTGCGAAATGAATTTTGTCCATCCATAGTCTGGCTCAACAAAAAGTCAAGGATTCGTCCCCTTGGACCGCCCCATACGTAGCCAGTGCCGGCGCCCCGAAAATATGCCCAGTGGTAACATCAATTCCCTTTAAAGCCAACTCACGGCAAACTAGCAAAAATCTTCATTTCTGCCACTGGAAACCCCGAACGCGTCCCCAGAAAAAAAGGAGAAAACAAATAAAAAGAAAAAAACACGAAAGTCATACGCAGCGAATCCCCGCCGGCGCCCCGAACATCCTTTAAAAAACCCGCCGGCTAGCGACTTCTCGGCGAATCCCAAGCGGCCGCAGGGGGCTGTAGCTCCCGCCCCAGAAGGGCAGCGAAGCTCCCCCCGCACTCTGCAGCGCCATGGCGCGAGGGCCGGGAGCCAACCCTCCCAAAGGGTCCAGGGATTTGTCCTACCCGAAATTCCACGGCGAAAATGACCCAGTTTTTCTCGCCCAGAGAAACATGCATCACCAGGCGATAGTTTCCAGTAGTGATAGATTCCCTTTAAAACCAGCAAGGAAAATAAAGCATGTTCTTAAGCAAATGGATGTTTTCCACACGGCGAACATGACCCATTCCTGCCCGCCAGAGAAACGAGCATTACCGAGGCTTTAGCTGGAAATAGGGCTAGAATAGGGTGATTCCCCAAAGGGCGTAGTCCCAGGGTGTAAGTAGGAAAACCTTGGAACTGGGGGGTGCCCTAAAGAAGATAAGGGAAAAACAAGGCAAGTTGCAGAAATCAAGAAGCTATGCTTGGAGAGGCTCCTTGCTACAAAAATGCTTGTCGGACGTCCAGCATTTGCTTTTGCTTGTGCCTGCCCCCGATCTTACCTTCCACCCCTAGCTGCGGCGCTTGCTTCTGCAACCATCTGCCTCTCTGTTCGCGTGGGGTGCCGATGTAGCTGCGGGACATCACCGGGCGCGGTCATCTCGAGATCAACGTCCGACTTCCGCGGCGAAAGCATTGGTCCAAACCCGACCTGTCTATGGCCCTCGATTTTTGTTACGCGCCCACGGACCTTCCATGTGTCCAACAACTGTCGGCAACAAGCCGCATGCATACGGGGAACCTCCTCAATGATTGGCTTCTTTCTGAATTGTGGCGTTCAAAAGGCAAACGGGGTGCCCCAGGGACCTCCCTTGTTTTAGGGGTACAGTTACAGTGGGGAAGAACCTCCAAGTGCTTCCAGTTGCCATACGCAACCAGAAAACACGTACCTGGCATAAACACCTCATGGAGGTACTTGGAAACTGGGTTTTTATTTAGAACCCCGAAAACAGAGGCGTCCTATTGTTCAGGTAAGTTGAGCAAGATCTCGGGCCCTGGTGGACCGACTGGTGTAATCATCTACTACCACCTATGCTTCCCACAGTCTTTTGTGGGTACCCTTATGGGTTGGTGTTTTTTGGGAAGCCAAAGGAAATCCCACCTGAGCCACAATCAAAACCCGGTATTAAAATGGTCTACCCAGAACCATGCAAAGAATTAAGAAGGCGGCCGCCACTATTTCTGGCTGGGACTGCACCTTACTAACCTTCATCTACCCGGGTTTTGATTGTGGCTCACCTGAGCCACCATCAAAACAAGGTTAAGGGATAGTCCCAATCATTGGGTTCCTTAATACCAATACCGATCAGTGTTGATTATGACTCAGCTGCTTTTTGTTGAAATTCCAGTTTCGGAGAGTCCCCAAAAAGAGGCTTGGTGTTTTGTAGGCAGTACCGTAGGTTGTCAGGGGAAGCCAACCGGAAAATTGTCCAGGTGCCCCTAATTATGCGACACAAAAACAGACTGGGGCCATGACTCCGGATGGACCAAGGGAAAACCAAAAGGTCAACAGGTCGATTCGCAGTGAAAGTGGAAAGATGAAAAGCTAGGAGAGACACAGACCCTTCTATCCGGGACTCTGCACATCCCCCCCCCCACAAACCGAAGCCTTACTTAGTCTGAGTTTGCCTTTCCTAACTTCCCAACTCCTGGCATGTTAGAAACCTTGGTTTAAACGGAAACCAAACAAAACACCATGCACACGAACAGAACCCAAACATCAAAAGAACAACATGCGCCAAGAACCGCGAAGATATGTGCTGATATGTGCTGACTTAATGAGTAACCCTTTCCTGGGTTTGTGCTGAAAGGGGCCGCACAACGGTCAAACACACATAAACCATCGATGAAGCTTTTGCTAATGCTGCATGCCGACATCGACACGCAGTGCGTCCGAATGTTAGCATGGATTAGCCAGTTGGTCTTGACATCCGACGCTGATCCGTTGAATAGGGAGCAGGGAGTCAAGGATCAGTTGAGAAGAACTGGCGCTGCTTGCGTGATGTGGACCATCAACTGTAGTCGATGCTTTCATCAAACAGCTTACTAAACCCAAGCATAATGCTCGTTTGCCTTGGTTGCGATAGATAGTGATAGATTCCCTTTAAAACCAACAGGGGGCAAATAACACAGCAAATGGAAGGTTTGCGGGGGTCTTTGGAGGGTGGCGGGGGGGGGGGGGCCTCCCTTCCCTCGATGCTCAGGCAGGTGCGGCCGCCGGCTCAAAACGCCTCACGCTCCGATCGATTTTCGGAGCGCGACGGCTCCGGGCCCGGGCATTGGAAATGTAGGTGGATAACCACAGCTTCGCAGTTGGGATGGACCATTTTTTTTGGGATAACCCCCTACCAACTGGTGCGGGATTCTGACCACAGTAAGAAAGGAAAGGAAGCATTACTTTCTCAGGGGCTTGATACGTCACTATATTCTGAGAACCTTCCTCGTGGCTATGTGCTGTTGCTCATGGATCGTCACAGTGGATGTTTCAAATCAGCCTCCCTCTGTTTAAGGAGCCCGGTGGTTTGGTGGCGGGGTGGCCCTATTTCAAGACCGGGGTTCAAATCCAAACCCAAACCACCAATCCAAATAGCCAACTTAACTGGAGGCAAGCTGAGCAAACAGAAACACAACCAATTCCTTGTGCCTTTCGCATCTTGAGGTGGTCCACGGCTTAGCCTTCCTTTCAACTTTCTCCTCAGGGCCCCATTCCCAAATAGCCCAACAGCGAACATGCAGCGACTCACACGTGATTCCAGTGGAACACTTAAACAAAACAAAAAAACATGAAACAGGGTGTTCATAGAAATTAAGGCGTTTCTAAAGCAAATTAAGACCCTGCGTTTTTATATATATATATATATGTGACATATGTGTGTGTAAAAGCCACAGAACCCAGAACAAAGAAAAGGGTTGTGAAAGCTTTGACTTGACGCCAGGCTCTTGGAATCTCTTTTTCCACAAGAACTCAGCATGCTACAAGCTGCTCAGCCGAGAAAAAAAAAACCCAAAAAAAAAACGCCCCGGCCCCTCCCCAACGTTGCCTCGTTCGCGACCCATGGCGCACGGGGAGCCCCACTTGGCAAAATGGGCAGCTGGACTTAAAGAGTCATCTGCTCCCGCGAGATTTTGGACTCCAGAATCTATTTTTGTACCGCCTTCTCTGAGGGCCATGCTAGAATCTATTTGGGGTCTATGATTTCGGGGTCCCTTCTTGAGGCCGGCTTCAAAGCAACAGCAAACCCAAGATGGTTCGTGGCCCCGCGATTTTGGCAACCCACGCCAATGGCGTTCCTGCGGCAAACTTGGGGCTCGACCCCTCGCTGGACAAATGCCCGGCCCATGATCTCCTTCAGCCGTACTTTGCATTGTTGAGCCTGTGTTGGCTTTTAGAGGCATAGAGTAGCATATGGGTGCACCCAAGCGTTTGTGGTTTTGAAGGAAACCAAAAGGCACACCGAAGCCATTTTGAGGGGCCCAAAAAAACAACACCCCGATATTCTTGCAAACTGGAACTGCTAGGACGAAGGCCGGAGTCAACATTGCCCTCAAAAAACACATGCCCAGATGAGGCCACGGCTCGCACATCTCTCTTTTTTGAGCTCGCAAAGTCCCCAGCTACTGGCGAGGCTAGGCTGCCCCTCCCCCGAAACCCAACTTTCCACCCTGGATTGCAGCTTCTGGCTAGCACCCCTGCTCCAAACCGTCAACAACCAGCAAGGACCAGGAAATACAATTTGATCACCCTTTGGGACCATGGCTACAGATGGACAAAACAGGAAAGCCCAAAGGATCCCAAAGATCCGGTCGATTCGCTTCGGGCAAGTGCGGAAAACAGGTCTTCTCCTCGGCTCCGTCTCAGGCACAGCTTCCTGGGTTTCTCAAAGCAGGATGCGAAGCCTGCATTCATAGAACCCAACCCCTCCCCCACTGGTTGCCATACTTGGGGCTTCTATTCCCACAGGGCGGGGCTTCACCTGAGCCTTGGCCCAATGGCATTGCCAAGGTCGCCTCAAGTCATGGAGCCCAGTCTCTGAGGTTGATATGTTTCTTGTCGGGAGGCGGTTCCCCAAGTAACTCCATGGGCGTCATCAGCGGAGGCATGCCACTGGGAAAAACGGGCTCGACCCCCAAACCTTCCCCAACTTGACCCACCTGACTACAGCCATAGCTGCCGCAAGACCAGGCATCCAAACAATCCCAGACTTCCATGCCAGTGTCATTGACACTGGGCAATCCAGAAGCTTCAATGTTTAGCAAGGATTTGGGTGTTCTCACAGCAGTGGCCCATGTTGAGACAAGTCCAAAGGGGCCATTGCGCCACCGACGCTGCCATTTAGGTCACACAAGCATGCAAAAATGGAGTTCGTAAAGAATTTTAGTTCGTTTAAGTATTGTTATTATGTTTTTGTAGGTTGCCTTACCTGCTGGCCAGGTCCGATTCAGCAAGTTTGGCCATCATCCATCAGACCCTGAATCTTGTCAAGCAAGTTGTCAAGCATCGAACAAACTAGAATCATTCAAGAATCCAAGACTAATGTTAACTTCGGAGTAATCCGGAGGACTGTACGACTCAGGGGTGGTCCCCTTTGAGTAGGAAAACTATCTATTTTGTGGGTCCCTCTGACTCTCTGGCTCTCTGACTGGGGTCTTCCGGATTAAGCTTCTTTTCTGGCTGTGCCGGATTTGCCCTGAGTATGCAATGATTGCCTGCCCTACGGACAATGGAACGTGGTCCTCGGCATCAGATTCGGCTACGACTGCAAACGCCACGCACTGTTCAAAAACAATCTGACTGCTGCGCGCAGGAGCAAGAGAATGGAGGGGTTCTCCAAATAGAGGACCCCTATTGTTCGTTTTGGGGGGGTTACTTCAAGGCTCGACTTGCGAGTCGAGCTAACCCCCAAAGGCCAAGGACTGGTCACCTGGTCAACATCGCCTCTGCATGGACCGCGCCGCGCCAAGCCCTTGTCCATCAGGCTTCTCGGCAATAAATCCGTTGAAGCTGCAACCTTCGCAGGCGCTTGCGGCATTTCCGGCGGCCTGGAAAATCAAGGTCGGCTGATTTACTCGTGGGGACGCCCCGGGACTGTAAGAAACGTTGGAAAGGCTGGCGCAAATGACACTTGTTCAAGAAAGCCTACAACATGCAAGCCATGGTGAGTGCGGCTTTGCAACACCGCAAAACCCACTCCAGGAAATAGCAAAGTTCACGTTCTGATTGTGACAGTCATGAGGCGTGGCAATGGTGTTGGACACCGCCCAAAGCCGAGCGGCTGGTTCCAATTTGCATGTAAGACTCCGCCCACAAGCTCTAGCACAACCCATTGCGAGGGACCACCTGCAGGTCCTAGGAAAGGCGTTGTGCGAACGACTGTCAGTTTGGCCTGGGTCTGGCAAACAGGCGACGCTCAACACGTCAGATGGGGCTATTTTCCAAGACTGTGACTAGCAGTACCGTGCTGCCAACCAAGACAGCAGTCTCAAGCTGCAACTTGCCGCGAAGTTCCGGGCCCAGCCAGGTTGGTCGGGCCCAAGTGCTCGTTGCTTTGCTCACGTCAAGCATTGAACAGCCTCGTATGTGTGCTCAACCTTTATCACGACCGGCACGATCCTCTCAGGGCAGTCTGGAGGAAGATCTACCCGCGAGGCCAGGCAAGGGTTTGCTGAGACATACCTCTTCCTTTGGGCACGGCTAAAGACACGACACACATGTCTTTGCGGGAGTAAAAGGCGTCCCCCGCTTGCAACCGCGTCGCTCCGAGGCCAAGTCTGAAGCCAACTGCGCCAGCTGCTGCGCTGGCAATGTCAGCCTGGGAGTAGGATCCATCAGGCTCCAAGAGCCAACTAGGCAAGCGATCCTCAAAATTGTCAGATGGTTTCTGTAGCACACGGTCTGGGAAGAGGTGGCGCTGCCGGTCTTGCAAGGCAAGGTGCCAAATGCCCAAGGCGCAAGCACGCGCATAAGCCAGCAGGCCGGCGGCCAGCAGTACTCTGCCCAACAACCGCAGCAGTCTCAAGCTGCAACTTGCCACAAAGTTCTGGGCACAGCCACACCCCTTGGCTCCAAGTGCTGTGTGTTTTGCTCAAGTCAAGCTTTAAAACCTTACCAAGACGTGGCCTTAGCCTCGGAGCAGTGAGAAAGATCTACCCCATGCAAGATCATGAGCTGTTTGTTGCCTATATGGAACTTCTGCTAGGGTTCGATGAGGCGCGGGTCTTTACCGGAATGCAAGGCTGGGAAGATGTGGCGTTGCTGGTGTTGCAAGGAAGGGTGCCAGACGCAGAAAACGCAAGCATATGCTCAAGCCAGCAGTTCCGTGGCCAGCAGGACGGTGTCCGACAACCACAGCACCAGTCTTGCGCTGCAACTTGCCACGAGGCTCTGGGCACAGCCGCGCCGCTTGGCTCCATGCGCCCTGTCCTTTGCTCAAGTCAACAAAACGTAGCCCTGTGGGATGACATCTAGCAATCCGCCCGAAAGCCTGAACATATCCGCTTCCGAGCAACCTCTTACAAGCTACCTGGGCACCAGGCCGGACGCTGAATAAAACGCTAAGCCAAGACTGCGTCATTAGAGTGAACCTCAACGCGTGCCAGCCTTGAAAGCGCAAGGCTTGAAAGTTGTGGCGCTTCCAGTGCTACAAGGCAAGGCGTCCAACTCAACAGGTGTACGCGAAGTGTCTGCCAACCGCGGCAGTCCGAATCTAAAGCTTGCCTCGCCTTTCTGGGCACAGCCGAGCCGGTTGGGCCCAACTATTGCTCAAGTCAAACATGGTGCTTCTCACGCAGCAATTCAACTTGTCTCCGGCCATTGCTCACGTTAAGGACTCAAGGAGACATGGCTCAACATATCCCACTCCAAGCAACCTCTTGCAAGCTACCTGGATGCGAAGCCAGACGCTGAAGCAAACTTAAACGCTAAACCAAGACTGCATCATTGAACTGAACCCCAACACGCGCCATCCCTGAACGCCCCAAAATGATCCGGGCTGGAAGGTTGCGGTGCTGCCAGTGCTGCCAGTGCTGCAAGGCGAGCATCCAACTCAAAAGGCGTGCGAGCGCACGCGCAGGCCAGCAGCGCTGTGCATGCCAACAGCAGCAGCAGACCGAAGCTCTATCGAAATGCTCCGTGCTTTGATCATGTCAAGGTGACATGTCCTCATGATGCCATCTGAGCAAGCCTGAAAATGCCACATTGCTAGCAACCTGCTGCCAGCTACCTTCATGGAAAGCCAGTAGTTGAGCAAGCAACCTGTTGCGAGCGGCAAACTTGATGCGAAGCCAGTCGCTGAGCAAGCAACCTGTCGCGAGCTACATGTACCTTGTTGCCTTGATGTGGAGCAAGCGGCTGTGCAAGCAACCTGTTGCTGATGAAGCCAGCCGCTGAGCACGAAACCTGTTGCGAGCTACCTTGATGTGAAGCCAGCCGCTGAGCAAGCAACCTGTTGCGAGCGGCAAACTTGATGCGAAGCCAGCCGCTGAGCAAGCAACCTGCCGCGAGCTACATGCATCTTGATGAAGAGCAAGCGGCTGTGCAAGCAACCTGTTGCGAGCTACCTTGATGCGAAGCCAGCGGCTGAGCAAGCAACCTGTTACGAGCTACCTTGATGCGAAGCCAGCCGCTGAAGCAAATGCTAGACCAAGACCGCATCATTGAATTGAGCCCCCAGCACATGCCATGCTCGAAAGCTCAAGGGCTGGAGGGTTGCGCTGCTGCTGCTGCTGCTGCTGCTGCTGCTGCTGCTGCTGCTGCTGCTGCTGCTGCTGCTGCTGCTGCTGCTGCTGCTGCTGCTGCTGCTGCTGCTGCTGCTGCTGCTGCTGCTGCTGCTGCTGCTGCTGCTGCTGCTGCTGCAAGGCATCAAACTCCAACGGTGTGAGCACCGTGTCTGTCAATCGCAGTAGCAGGCTCAAGCAAAGCTTGCCTCGCCATTCTGGGCACAGCCGAACTGGCTGGGCCCAACTACTCAGTGCTTTGAAGCTCAAGTGAATCATAGTGCTCCGTGTGTGGCCATTCAACACTCCTCCGGCAAGCCTGAACACAACCCATTCCAAACGCAAAGCCAGCCCCTGGGGAAAATGCTAGACCAAGACTGCATCCTTAAGTTAACTCCCAACGAACACCAGCCTTGGAAGCGCAAGGGGATGTTGCGGCGGTGCCGCTGCCAAACTCAAAAGGTGTGAGCACCGCGTCTGCCAACCACAGTCAAACCGCCCCCCCGCTCCAGTCGAGTTGCTCTTACCGCCGCGTCTGAAGCCAGCTTCCGCATTGACACTGTGAGGCTTGACAAGGGTGAACTCAGTGCAGACTAGGCATGTAAGATTCGGCGACGGTATTGCAAGGCACCAAACGCCAGAGGCGCAAGCACTAGTCTCACGCTGCAACTTGCCACGAAATTCTGAGCACAGCCACGCCACTTGGCCCCTAGCACCCTCCGCGCTTCTGAAGTCAGCGAGGCATGGCTTGAAAGATGTCATCCAACATTCTGAACATATCCCATGCCATGCAGCCTCTTACAAGCTACCTGGATGCGAAGCCGGATGCAGCAAAGGCTAAACCAAGACTGCATCATTGAATCTAACCTTGGATGGGTCTCAACATGTGCGAGCCTTGATGGCGCAAGGGCAACCTAAAGCGCCCCTGCAAGTCAAACCACCTATCAACTGGCTGCTGCGCACCGGCATGCTCTGGGAACTGGGGGGCTTAAGCCTGGCGGTGGGAAGCCACAACTTGCATCGGCTGAGCACATGTCGGTTCGCTTCAGCTTCGCAAGTGCTGAAAAAAAAAACGTCGAGATGGCGCAAGGGCCACGAAATTGTGGCGCTTCTGGTGCTGCAAGGCCAAGCAGGAAACGCAAACGGCGCGAGCGCATGCGCAGTACTGTGGCCAGCTGCCAACCACAGCAGTCTCAAGCTGCCACTTGCTGCAAAGTTCTGGGCACAGCCAAACTGGTTTGGCCCAAGTGCTCTTTGCTTTGCTCAAGTCAAGCCGCATTGAACACCGTCTTTCTGTGGCCAACCTTCTGGGCACAACCTCACAGCGTGGAGGGAGATCTACTCGCCATGCCACATGACCTAACTGCATTTACCGCACACGCGTGGCTTGCCACCGAGCGCACTTCTGGCTCGAACGTGAGACATTCTGAGCGAAGGGAAAGCAAAACGAGTGGGCGCACCGGCATCGATGAGAGGACAGTTCTAAAGGCAAGCCCATATCAGCTCATCGAAAAAAATCGGAATGTTTTCCGGTTCTCCCACGAAGCTGAGGAGCAGAGGGGAAGGGTGGACCCACCTTCCGCATACCCTTCGGCAACCGCAAAGCAGATCCGAGCGGCCTCTCCGAGCGTGTTCCGCGAAGTGGGCCCGAAGCTACGGATCAAGCAGGTTGTGGACTGCGATTTCCGGTGCCCGCCGCGGCGCGATACTCCTCATGTGCCGTCTAACACAAATCTAGCCCGCAGGCTGCGGGATGCTGCCGCCAGGAACCTTTTCAGGATTTGGGGCCGGCCTGGGAACTTCTGAGGGGAACTGGCTGGGAAATCTGGCAGATAGGCACTGAGCGCCAGCTCCTGGATCGGCCATTCAGCCACCTGAACGGCTGGATCCACATGTTTGCAGCCCATCCGGGCAAGCATGTCTTGAACCAATTGGCATGTGCCTAAGACAAGGAAATGAACTCCTGCGGCTTCACGTTTCGAAGCATAGGTCCCTCACCTCTCTGAGCCAGGCTTGGGCCAACATAGCCTGAAAGGCGCCGCGTTGAACCAATCGCTGCGGGTTAAACACTGCAACATGAGCCCATGGGCAAATGGTGCTGTCTTGATCTGCAGGCAGTTTTGCCTACGTGACCTGTCTAAGTTCGACAAACGGAAGGCAAGCAAGAGATTGCCCTCTGCCGAGAAAACCGGGAAGAGTTGTGCCAGGGTCAGCCCTTGCTGTCCTGCCTTTTTCGCCGACTTATCTGCGTAATCGAAAGTGTGTGCAACATGGGCGTGTGTCAACTTTGAAAATGCCTCCACTTCCCTAACATCACACTAAACAACAGCACGAAACAACGTTTTCGTGACAAGCTGCATGAAGTACGTCAGTCCTTCTTGTTCTTGCTATAGCATACCATGGTGTGGGCGCGCTTTTTGGTGGGTGCCCCAATTTGTTAACTTTTAAAGCGAAACAAAAGGAGAACCATCTTTGGGGAGTCCAACCTGAGACAGACCCGGGCAGTTTCTGGGGCCATGGGCAGGTCTTGGTCCACACTCCTGTCCCGAAGCTGAAAGGACGCTTTTGGTTTCGGGCATCACTCCTTGGGCAATTTGGACACGTCCATTGGGCCCGAAATAAGGGTTTCATGGACTTGACACTCAAGGTGCTCAGTTGCTCTGCTCATCTGCTCAGTTCACGGCTCCAAGCTGAAACTTATATGCTAATTGTAGGCTGTTCCCTCGAGGATGTTGTGATCGGCACCCTTGAGCCTCAAATGCTTCGCATCTCGCCATGAGCACAGCCAGCGCGGTACGTCGTCATGAGTCAGCATTCCATGTTTGACTACCCCAAGGTCTTTGAACCAACGGGTTCCCGTTTTCGGAAACCAACCTCTGGTTTTCAGTCTACCTTGTCGTAGTCGAAAAACCTAGACCCCCGCATCTCACTGCATTTGAGCCTTGCAAGCGCGTTACAAGCGCACCGTAGGGAACCCAAATACCTAGATCGGGGCTCGGTGACTCCATCTCTTGCCCCTTTGCGCCACCACATTTTCGTGCACATCTTCCTGCAAGCTGACGTCCAGGCCAGCCTGGCAGCTAATTGCCACGCGAGGGCAAGCAATGAAGGAAAGCGCGAAAGGGTTCGTCTCTTTCACTCTGCCGACCCCCCCCCCCCCCCGCAAGGCCTGACCCTTTTTACCCTTTGGCTGCTTACCTTCTAACCGAGGGGGAGTCTTTGGGTCGGGTGGCGCCTGAAGCTTGAGGTGGGCGGGCCACTAAGAAATTACGGTCATAAACGGTATGTGCCAACTCAGTACTTGAAGAGTACAAGAAGCACTGGGGGGTGTACACAAGGGCGGGGTCAAAGCTGGAAAGGCATCAGGCCCTGAGAGCACAGCACTGGAAAAGAATACGTTTGCAACAAAAGGCCCACTAACCAAATCCCCATGTCCCCGCAAAAGCAAAAACGCATCACATTTCGCAGTCCATGTCGGATAGCTCATTGCGGGGCCTCATCGATTCACTGAATAGATCCAAACTGCCTGCTACTTGTTCCGCGTGCTAAAATTAGTGCGTCTCCTGTGGACAATTTGGAAAGTCCCCTATGGCCCTCCAAACAGTACTTGGCCCACATATGATATAGACAGAAAAGATAACATGTTCTGACACTGTTCATATCGAGCCGGCCCAAAGATATAATAGTTTTATATAGTTTTGGGATCCACAGACAATAACCGTTGCTGACTCTGTTTCATTTCGAGCCTGCCCTCAAATATGAAAAATCGTTTTGGGAGCGAAGATCCAGATTAGACCATGACTGAAGCTCCTGTGCGCTCCCACCGAAAAACCGAGGCTGACCGAGGCCCGCCGGCCCGCCGGCCCGCCGGCCCGCCTCCGAGCCGTCCGAGCCGTCACCCGCCGCGGCTTCGAGCATGGCGTTCAAGGCCTCGGGGTTCCAAGGCCAGAGGGCCTGGACAAACGAAGCGGGGATACTGTGGATGGTTGCGAAATCCATTTCGCACCACCTGAGAAACCCTAGAATGACTCGATTCCCCTGTAAATACCAACAAGCAATAGTTGTTCATGGTTTCAAAGTGGTGCAGGATTTCGTCCATCCACAGTATGGAGGGAGCGGGGATATGGGGGGATTCCCTTGGCGCCATTTCCCCTAAACTCTGCTTGTTGGTTTCCTGAGCCTGCTGCCATGGTTGAATCATGCGGCCTGGGGGAACGGGGGGGAGGAAGGGGAGGGAGGGAGGGAGGGAGGGGAGGGGAGGGGAGGGGAGGGGAGGGGAGGGGAGGGGGAGGGGAGGAGGGAGGGGAGGGAGGGAGGGGAGGGGAGGGAGGGAGGGGCCCCAAAAATAGAAAGTTCAGAAGCTCGAGGAAACTCCTTGCCATTTTCAATATCCGCAAGTAGGCCAAAGGCAAGCCACAATGTGATCCAACCACCTGCTTGAGGGTTCACTAAGTGTGCGTGTGCTTGTGAAAGCGTGTGAGTGTGGCATCCCATTTGGTCACCCTCAAATGTCCATGATTCTGAATTCAAGGCGTTTATGAGTGCTTTTTTTTTTTTTTTTCGGGGGGGGGTGCAATCACCCTGTTGAGACTTAAAACAAGGGAACATAACCCACTTGGAGGCCAGCATTTAGGGACAAACCCCATGCGCGGAGCGCCGAAAACCCACTAACTGTGTGTTCCACACCAACATGCTTATTGGCACGCTAGTTGAGCCAGGTAGGAACCGAACCGCCTAAACTTGCCAAAATGGATGGTGGTTCTTTTTCTAACCCGACATGGCAGGTTGTTCCTCTTGGTCTTCCTTTAAACCCAACAAACCAGGGGTACCCAAAAGCCACAAACCCAAATGGTTTTCAGGCGCTGATGTTGACCCCATATTCATCAACCGACCAGTTTATTCATGGGCCCCCCCACATTTCACCCAGGTTGAACCCCCCCATTAATGAACTGGGGTTGATTAAAATGGGGTCAACGTTCGGGATCAATCCGAGATCCCCGAGAACTTGTTGTTTTCTCACTATTTTAAGTTTACCTACCAGTTTCCTACCAGTTACCTACCAGTTGCCTACCAGTTACCTACCAGTCTCCTACCAGTTACCACCCAGCTAAAAACCAGTTACCAACCAGCTACCCCATGGTTACCCCATGGTTACCCACCAGTTGCCACGGAGAAGTAGGGACCCAAAAACGACCCAAACGCCAAGGAGCGCCGCGTAGGCGGGCACGCCACAAAGAAGCCAGCACGTACTCCAGCAGGCAGGCAGAACCCCTGGCACAGGTTTTTTCCCCCGCAAATAGCTGAAAGCTATATCATTTCTAACTTCTACTAAAGAGGGAAAGTCATTTGCGAGATTGGCGGCTGGGTGCAAGGGGGCATGCAGTCAGGGGTGCTAGCGCAGCTGTGTCAGTTGCTCTGGGAGTGCTATTGGGGAGCGCTGTTCAGGTTGATGGCGTCGGTGCATTTTAGCAAGATTGATGGCAGGGTGCTGGGGGCATGCAGCTTGGGGTGCTGGTGCGGGTGCTGTTTTGGGGGGCTGGGGTCACGGGCGCGTCTTTGCCAGATTGACGGCGGGACGCTAAGGGGCATGCAGCTTGGGGCGCTGGTGCAGGTGCTGTATTGGGGGGCTGTTTTGGGGTGTTGCTTGAGGTGCTATCTGGGTCTATGCTGGCGTTTTTTCCTAATGGTGGACATCGGAGTTTCGTAAAGATTCATGTCCACCAACCAGTGTTGAGGTTCCCGGTCTAAACTATGAACTCCACCAACATGGCACCTGACAGGGGGTCCCTCCAAGAGGAAACTGATCTTCCAGGTGCTCTCCCACAGGTGCCATGGGCCCCCGAAATGGTGGAAAAAGTTCGGCGGGCATTCATGTCCATCAACCAGTTTTGAGGTGCTTCCCGCTTGAAGTTCCTAGCAATATTTTCCCTTTAAACATCACCCCACCCCAAAAAAAAACATGTCCCTCTCAGAAAGTGGAACTGCGCGGTCCCTGTGGTAGTTTACCCCAGGCTCTGGGGTAGTTTCAATCATTCACCATGTTTGGGGCCGACTCAAAGTAAAAACCGAGGCGATTTGGCTCCCCCTCGCTCACTTCTTGCATTTGTTTACCCTCCTCACTTGGATTGGCCCAAGAAGGTCGGGCCACTGCCACAAAGCGCTGAAGAATTGGAAATTCATGCTTAAAAAGAGCCCCCCTCGAAACAAAAGAAGCAAGACACAAGGATTCGCACTTTTTGAAGGTCTGGCATGTTGACGCTCCAAAGGTCCTGAACCTCCAAAAACCAGCCCGCTGGCAGGTTCGGGGGTGTATGGGTAAGGGAAGGAAGTTCACCCTGGCCAAGGCAAACCGAAGGAACCATCTTCTCTCATCTTTTGTCAACTTCAGATTGGTCCGGACCGTGCTAATCAGGGGTGTCCCCTTTCAGTAAGGAAATGACCTATTGTTGAAGGCTTCTCTGACTAGTAGGGTCCTCCGGATGAATCCGAAGCTGACATGCCCCCCTGTACTTTGACCAGCTTTGCGGCGTGCTCGACATGGGTGTGGGAACGAAACTGCAATGCTCATTCGCAGAGGGGCATGATTGCAACAAGGGACCAAAACATCTGGCATGATGAAGGATTCATCATTTTGGGTTCGAGTAACCCATTTTTTAGTTGGGATTTTGGTTGGGTATGTTGGCTCCAGGTACTTGGGAAGCCACCGAACCACCAGGCTCCAAATGGATTTCGTCAACTCCATTGGGTTTCCCTAGCCCTCACCAAAACCAAAGCAAATCAGCAATCAACTTGCCACTTCTCCCCCCAAGCAAGCCACGAGGTGGTTATCTTTTGCAGAAAATGTATTGGGCTTCAGGTAGGCGTTGCGCCTGTCGAGGCGCCGCTGGAGAGCCGTCAACTCCTGCGCGAAGTTCCCACCCCCTGGCGCTAGGGGCGCTTTTGTGTGCGCGCTTTAAGGGTGTCGCTTTTGGGGGGTTGATTCCTCCCATCCTTTGCGAGGCCACCCGTTTTGTCGCTGAGATAAAGGGAAACCAACCAGGAACTCTGGCCGCTAGCAGGTTTGTCCCCATGATTTTCCGGAGGGTAAGCTTCAGTCGGCTCCTCCCCAGGTCCTTCCGGATCAGCAGAAGCCTCATGGCGAATGCCCGGGTGTCTTACAATCGGGGACCCCCAAAATGGCGCAACGGTTTTCCCTTCAGCGTCCAATGCCTCATGTACCACTCGTCAAATGGGGCCAGTAGGTGTCCTTGACTCTCGCTCCACCGTGCTTTTTTAGATAATGTCAACCCCGAACATCCCCGAACTAAAGAAGGAATTTGCCATGGAAAACCCAATTGGTCTGTCTATTTCACGTATACCCCGAGAAAAAAACACTGGTGTGAGGGGGTAGTTGTCGCTTCAAGAACGCTGGGCCCCGCACAGTGCTGCACCTGCTGGCAAAGTCCGCCTGAGATCTTTCTTCGCCGCAAAGAGCACATCTTACATCCTGGGTACACCAAACAAAGTATGCCTGCTTCTTCTTCATATCTGGGCTGCCCAACCTGATCCCCCGCGAACAGTGACTAACTTTTCGTGGGTCCAATACGGAAACTACCACTAAAAACACAAGGCCAAAAAGCTAAGGGACCGGATGGACTTCGGGAGCCACCAAGATATCCCGTCCATCCTCACCAAACTCGCCATGAGGACTTGGGTTCCTCGGGCGTCCTCGGAGTTCATTGGACTGGCCCCCCCCTGGTGGTTCCTGAAATTCCGTGGGTCTCCCTATCCACCCTCCCCCCCTCTCCCCCCCCAAAAAAAAAGAAGAAAGAAAAGAGATCCACCCTCCCCCCCCAACCTCTCCCCTAGAAAACAAAAAGACGAGAGAGACCAATGACTGCGATGTTAAACCAGCTGGCCGAACCTCACCTGAGATCTTCCACAAACCGGTCCGCTTTGGCTTCCGCGAGGCCTTCAAACTTAGAGGGCCACCAGGATTGAGACGAGTGGACACCCTGCAGCAAGTTCGAGTTATTGGTTGAAACGTAACCTGAAACCCCAAACCCAAAAGGAAACCCCAAAGGCAAACGCATTCAAGCTAATGATTCTGATGGAAACCCCGAACCCAAAAAGGCAAAAGCTGAAAGGGTAAGCCAACTCTTGGCACTGGGTACTGCTTCTTGCGGAGCGGCCAAACCTAAGGCCCCTCTGCATTGGATGAGTCAAGTTGGCGGACGACTGGGCGGCATTTTCCGGCGCCGGACAGCAAGCACTCAGGTTCCACTCGAGTTTTTTAGTTTTTAGTGGTTCTTTTTGGGGGGGAGGGGGCTGCAAACAACAGGTTTGCAACCACTTTCATCTTGACATGGAAGTGTAGGCCGTACAAAGGTCTCTGGCTTGCTTTTGCCCACCATTCTCTGTGGGAGCGCGGCTTTGCTCCAATGCTATCTTGGGGCCTTGGAGGAGGATTGAACCAACCACCTGATTCGTTGCTAGGAGCAAGTGCCAAACACTTCGGGGAAGAATGTGGAGAAGCAGTCCCCCAATCTCTCGTCCTCAACTTCATGTCACCTCTCAGACCATGCGAAATTCCAAGATGGCTTCAAGGGCCGTACCGGGAACCCAGAGTTCATCAACCCCTTGTTGATTTGTAGGGAGGTGTCCCAAACCTCATTTCTCCACTTTGGAGGAGACTCTTCCCTTGTAGCACCAAATCAGAAAATTCCGGGGTCACGGGGCATCGACTTTCGATTTCACGAATGATCAAAGGAAATGTTCTCCCCTACAGCTTGACATGGAACCCCCCAAACCGAAAAACGGGGGCCTTTGCGGGTTCCATGTTAAACTGTAGGGGAGTAGTTCTCCTTTGATCATTCCTGAGATCGAAAGTCGATGCTCCGTGCTGACCCCGGATGTTTACTCTTTCTTGGGCAACCCATGTTGATTTGTTCCGAGTCAAAGGCGCCGAGGCTGCACATCCCACGCGACCAACCCGCGCGGATCCCGCCCGTGCGGGATCCAAACCAACGCGCGGCCGAGGCGCATGCCAGGCCAGGCGCACCTTCAGCCGCAGCAGGCGGTCCGCGCGGCTCGCCAGGGGCGCCGAGGCCAAGGCCGCCTAGCCGAGAGAAAGGCTCCGTCACTAGGCCCGGGTGTACCTCTCCTAGGTCCTCCAGTAGAGAGGTTAGAATAAGGGTAACCCTCCCCCTCACTCACCTCACTCACCTCACCTCTGGCAGTATATACATGGCCATGGGTCAAAATCCAAATTCTACCCCCAGTGAACATCCCAATCCCCACTAAAATAGACCTAGCCCAAAATGGTACCAAACGGTTTTGACCCACAGCCAACTGTCACTATGCCCGGGTGTACCTCTCATATCTCACTACATGGGTCATATAACATATGTAAATGCAGCACCGGCGGCAAGCGGCGGACGAGAGGCACCAGAAACATTTCGGCGGCTCCAGGCGGCAAGTGGGAAGAGGAACGATCAGGGGGGCTTTTGCCAGAGCCGGCCGGGGGCAAGCGGTGATTCCCTCCCGGGCCATTGGAGGCCCAGCACTAGCTGACTTGAAAGGACGCCCTGCCATTGCTAGTGCGCAGCACCAGTTGGTCGCCCTGGCCAACAGGAGGAAAGACAACCCGGAGCATCGTGGGCGAAGTCGCCCAAAAGTTGCCCAAGGAGATTGGGCGGCACCCCGTTGCGCGAGCTAAGCGGAGGCATTGAGGCAACTGCACGGTGCAGGATGTTTAAAAAGAAAAATGTTACGGGATCAAACACAAATTATCGACACATGACCAACAAATAATTATTCACGGGATCAAAAACAAAAAATGCCGATCTGCTGGCTGTGGGGGTGAAGATGCCCACAGAGAGGGGCTAGCAATGGTTTTGTCACCAGCGGCGGACTACTGATTTCCGAATTGGCTTGTGCTGGGTTTGCGGTGGGTGTAGGGTCGGTTGTAGGGTTGGTTTGGGGTTGGTTTAGGGTGGGCTCCAGTTGGTTGAGGCCGGGTTTGTGGTGGTTTAGGTCTAGTGATTTTAGGTTCAGGGTTGGTTTAGGGTGGGCCTAGGGTGGCTTATAGGGTTTAGGGTGGGTTTCGTGTTGGTTTGGGGTGACTAGGAAACAGGAGACCAAGACCACCGGCCTGAAGAAGATGTGTTTCATGCCCATCCCGTACAGGGTTTTGATGTCCGAACAGTGGGTTTACTGGCCGGCGGACGCCACGGCGCCCGATATTCTGGAATTTCGTGGGGAAACCACCGCAAAGGGGCCCCGACTTCGTCCCAGGACGGGAAAAAAACCGCAAAATCTTTGAGTGTCGTGTTGGAGTCTCGGACTTTGCTTCGGCCTGAAGCACACCCATTTTTGAGGCTCCCCAATAAGACAGCCCCAAGCCTGGGCACCAAAAACTTGAGCGTGTCTTTTTTGGGGAGTTGGTACCCCTTGTTTGGTTGGTTTCAAAGGAAACAAAAAAATAACATTTTTTGAGGTCCCCTAAAAAGACAAACCCATATTTCAGATTCAGCTCACCAAAGAACAGATGCACACTGCCGAAATGCAACAGGCACCTATTCCGAATACCCAGCCGCATTCTGAATCCCCCCCTCTCACTAACATGGCACCTGGCAAAGGGCCCATTTTGGAGGACACTGATCTTCCAGGTGCGATTTTTTTTGGAGGGAGGGTGCCCTAACAATACTGTGGATGGACGAAATCCATTTCTCACTCCTTTGAAACCATGGTTGAAACCACTGTTCGTTGGCATTTGCCGGGGACTCACAATTCCAGGGTTTCTGAAATGAAATGGTTTTCGCAACCATCACGTACGCGTATATATATATATATATATATGCATACACATATATGTATGTGTATATATACAAATACACAAATATAAACTTGGAGGAGATCACACACGCAGACACACACACACACACACACACACACACACACACCCGCCTCCGAAAGGTTTTGCACCTGCGCGCTGTCGCTCTGCGTGTACTCCGACCTGTCGAAAACGTGGCCGCTCAAAGCACCCAAATCGGCGAGGGGAGATGAGAGCAGAATAGAAACCAGCCACAGGAATTTCCACAGGACATTTGCGAAATACCCACGGAGTTCCTGGAGTTTCCGTACTGGATACTTCCCCGCGGGTTGGCGGCGTTTTTTTGAGGCATCTGCCTTTGGAGGAACTTTGTTTCCGGGATTGTGTTTCATTTACGGGGTTCCGGGTTCCCCCCCCGCCACCTTGTATCGCTTCGTCGGCCCAGCTCCCCATTCGGCCTTCTAGCATGATGACCCGCTGACACGCTTCACTTGTGTGCCAAAAACAGAAATACTCACTTCCAATCAAGTGGACTGGCCAAACAAATCATGGAACTTGTTTATGTACCACCCAAATTCCCCCCTAACCTCCAAACCGGCGCTAGGTGTTTCCCCCTCGCAAGTTGATCAATTCACCAGCGGTGTCCATTGAAACTTTCCCGAAGCAAGTGAACAGCTATGCAAACTCCACTGTTCTTGGAACAAGTGGCAAAAGCAAAAAAGTGGTACCACTTTTTTGGAGGTTCCCAAGACACATCATATATAAATATCCCTCTTGGCTGGTCTCGAAACGAAAGGACTCCCACAAAAATTGGACCTGGAGGACCCCTGCCATCGGCGCCATGTCCAAGCCGCTCAGACGGGCGCCTCGTCGGCCGAAAGGTGCGCCACGAGGCGAAAGCCCCGCCGACGCGCCGCAGCGCCAGGCAGCGACACTGGCGCGCCAGGCCACCGCACGCCGCCGCCTCGGGGCGCGGGTGGTGCGGGTGGCGCGCCAGGGCCGCGACGCGTGGGGGTTGGATCCTGGGGAAATGGGCGTCCTATTGCGTCATTCTGTGGGGAACCCACTGAGTCAGTAGCAAAAGCAGGGCAATATGGGTTAGTTGCCTGAGAATCATTGACAAATCTGGGGAAAATCGGAGGACTGTTCCGTTTGGGCCCCTTCTTTTGTTGGCACACCTCCAAGCATGTCTATTCTAGGGGGTGCTGGAGAAAGTTTCTTTGTTCTTTTTCTTCTTCTTTTTTTTTGGGGGGGGGGGGTGAAACCTTGAAATGGGTGTCCTTTTTTGGGCAACAGCACAAGGGAAGCTAAAGGGGAAACTAAAACGGAAAACTAACCATGGCTTTGGGCTCTCTATTTAAGACACACGGAAGTGGACACTGGATCGGTTTTGTTACAAACCAGCAATTACTGGGCCTAGAAAAAAGATTCAAAAGGGGCTTCGTTGCCCCTCCGCAAAACAAGTTCAACTTTTTATGGGTCCCATGGCAAACCCACCGTTTCCGAAAACGTTTAAGTCCAAAGATCCGCTATCAAACAGCCGTAGAGCTGTGGTGCTTAAAACCAGGAAAGAAAACTCAAGGGACGGGCAGGTTGCCCGTTGGCCCGGCTTCGCGTCAGCTTCTAAATCGCCATACCGGGGAACTTCTTGGGGATTTCCAGCGGTTTGGATTGGGCTGGTGGCCTTCCATTTGGATAAGACCCCGGGAGAAAATAAAAACATACTTCCAGTAGTGATAATTTCCTTTTAAAAAGCCAAGGGAATATTTCTCTTGAAGACCTTTTGGGGACCTGGGGAGTGGTTGGGACCTTTGGGGGAGAGCTGGGGGTCGCCTGGCGGCGCCCAGCGATTTTGGCGCGCTTCCAGGCCAGCCACCAGGGAGCCAACCTCCGGAAGACGTCCGGATCTCTTTCTACGAGTACAAATATATATATATATATATATGTATATATGTATGTATGGTTGTGTCTTTTGGTTGTTTGTTTGTGTGTTTGGTTGTTTGGTTGTTTGTTTCTGTGTTTGGTTGTTTGGTTGTTTGGTTGGTTGGTTGGCTGGCTGGGTGGTTGCTTGTTTCTTTGTTTGGCCTAATGTCATGTAGCAAATGAAGCAAAACAAGCCAAGGCTGTACCCAGAAAGGTCGAGCCGGTTGCTTTCTTTGGGCGTGTGGCTTCCGGCCGTCTTTGGGCGTGTGGCTTCCGGCCTGTTTTGCTGGCAACTGTGGGAGGCCCTGGAGCAAGGGTAGAAAACTGATGTCTTGGTTGCTGTTGGCCTCAAGTTTTCACATTTTTGTAGGTCAAATAGAAAATCCAAAAGGTTAAAGTCAACAAATCCAACCAAGAGCCATAAAGTTGTGATGCTTAAATCAGGGGTGACTGGACTTCCCCAATTCAAAAGTTGATAAGTTAACTGGCTTCTATCCAAAGAGAGGATATTGAGTGATCCCTGTAAATCGTAGCTGCGATCTGATACCCAATGAACGTGCTCGAGTTTTGAGGTCCTACGCAACGTAATGATGATCAAGCTCTGGCCTCCTTTGAGTTGACCTGCACTCTTGAGCTGACCCGACTAGCAGGTTTCAAGTTTGAAACGCATCTCTGTTCAATCCTCTGCAATGCCTCATCGCACCCTGGGGACCAGGGTAGTCTTCGCATGTCTTCGCCATCCCGCATGGCACAATTACAAGGGGTCGAGTTGGGCTTACGCCGTCAGCAACATTGGCCGAAAAGTACGCATTCGCCCGGCACAGAATGAGGCCGCTGCACGAGTACCATTTTGGGTTGGCAAAAAACAAGAAAACTCACTCACATTTTGCGTCTCCAGTCGGAGACCCCCCAGAAAAGGACCCACCACCCGCCAGATCGGATGTCAATAGATGGCTTTGTCGGTTAGACTGAGACCACCGCCAGCGCCACCCCCGGAAAACGCGCCGGGCCCACGCCCGCTTCGAGAGGCGGCAGATCACCGGCGACGGGCGGACGCCGCGGCTTCGGCTTCCGATCGCCGCGGGCGCCGTGTTCGCCCAGCTGCGCACCTGGGCCTGGGCCGCTAGAGTCGCGCGAGAGATGGGATGCAACCATAGGTGTCCTTTTAAGGGAAATAGATGGCCCTGGTAGATGATTAAACCACCTGGTAAACCAGGGCCATCTATTTTCCTGGCAAGACAACCAAAAAGGACACCTACGGATGCAACCGTTGGCTCCAGGTGCCTTCTGCAAAAAGGCCTCCGCTTTGAAGACTTTTAAATGGTTCGGAAAGCTTGGGTATGTCTCTTGGTTTCAAGCTTGTGGTTGGAGGAAAATGGGCCTCTAGAGAGGCTCACGAAAAAGGGAGGGTATCTGATGTGAGCTTCGATGGCGCCAATGACCATGTGAACTGCCAGTCTTGACCCCAGACCATAAGCCTTTTTTAGAGCTTCTGAACCCCTATTTTGCCCTTGATGTTTGTCTTGCCCTTAAAAAGGTACCAGGTCTGGTAGCACAACCTTGGATATTTGGCAGGTTCTCCAACCAAAACACGGGAAGGCAGCAGCCCATTCAGTATCAGACGCTCACTCAGGAAGACTAAGGGCTTCTCTTTCTGTTGGGGGGCATCCTCATGCCGGAAATGCAGCCACTCCAGGAATTACCGCTGTTTGGTTGGGTGGTTTAGAAATATGGGGGGGTCCATTTGCCATTGGCAAGAACCATGGCAAATCCAAACCGAAGGACCAATTAGGGGGGTTCGAAAATGGCCTCTCTCATCCTCTCTCCGCATCTCACGTCCCACAGGACATGGTTTCCAAGAAAAATGCCAGGGATTCAAACCCCCAAGCCAATCCAAACCACCTGAACAATGGCTTTCAGAGATGCCCTCTTCAGACATGGCACCGGGTACCCAGTGCTCCACCCCAACAGCCCTTGAAGGCCAGTCCAAAACTGCAATCTCACTCTTCTTTACAATTTGCCTACAAGAAAGCAGGAGTTCAAACCTCCAAGCCACCAATCCAAAACCACAAGCTAGTGGGTACCTGAAAAAGCACAAGCCAAAAACAAATGCACATTTGAAGCCCTGGCTTTAGAATATAGATGGGAAACTACCCCCCCAACACCAAACCTCGAATCCAAACCACCAACTAGGCGCCTGAAGCGCAAGAAGCAGAAACCGAAGAACTCTCGCGGCAACTCTCGCGGCCTTCCAATGGCCCAGGGCTTGGGACGCCTTCAGCGCCGCCGCCCGCCGCAGCGCGGCATTCGCCGCCCGCAGCGCCCAGGCCCTGAGCCGGCGAGGGGGCATCCCAAAAATGGAGGGTGTCCTTCTTCCTAGTGGCCC